AGAGGAGGCCTTAGAAACTCACCTGGTCGCTTCTACCCTGTCCTATAGGATCGCCCTAAGTTGGTATCCACTCAGTGACCATGACCGTGAGTGTGTGTGTGTGTGTGTGTGTGTGTGTACACACTATGTATTGCTCATTTAGTCTCCCCCGTTCGTTCTGTTTCTCCCCCTTCACCCTGGCCTCCCCGTAACCCCCGGCGCCTGCTGCTTCTGGTGTAGGCCCATCTTCTTTCTCATATAATAGTGTTCTCAGACGGGATTTGTCTTTAGGAGATTGTCCTGAGCCTATTGTTTCCTGTCATGAGGTGGGAGACAGGCTCATCACTGCCCATTAGGGATGCGCAGGACCCCGGCGTACACCTGTGCCAGGCCGTGTCTACCCATCCCTGCATAGGCTGGCCTGGTGCGGCGTCCATCTTTTTGCTGCGGTGGTTAAGGCTCTGATAGTAAACATGGTGTGTCTTCGACTGTTCGCGTTTCCTCCTTCATTTCTTCAGAGAAATACCAAGTAGAGAGGTTGCTAGTTCCTATGGTATTTCTATTTCACACCCATCTTATAGATGAGGAAACTGAGGCACGGAGGGGGTTAAATCACTTGCCCAGGGTCACTCAACAAATTTGTTGAGCGTCTTACTTACTATCTTGTAACCCAAAGCCCTGCATTCACAGCGGGACAAGTATCTACTGCCTGGTGAGTTCGGATATTCACACCATAGGTCTGACACTGACAAGTGCCAGGGTGCGGGCACCAGAGGAATGCTGGCTGTGATGAGGGAGATTGCGTGCCAGCCTGGCTGGGCCATGACTCTCCGCAGTTTGGCACTTGCAGTTTTGTGATCTGGTGTCGTCATCCTCCATGTCTGTAGCGAGGAACATGTAACTCCACACTGCATGCCCTCAGGTGTCACGACATGGCATGGAGCAGATACCCATATGTTAACGGGTGGCTGCAGTGGCTCTGGTACCGTGAGATGCAGGCTTGCATGGCCAATGATCAAGAGAGAGGAGATGGAGCTTGCCTTCCAGTGCTCTGAGCTCAGACGCCTCCATCCTGAATCTGCTCCCAGATGTGCCAATACTGTGACTTTCTGCCCAGGGCTCTGGCCAGAGGTTCCCTGCTCCCAGCCTCTCAGGGGGGCTGGTAAAGAGTCTAGAAGGGGGGTTGGATTTCCATGATGCCAGCCTGGATCCTCATCCTTGTGCAGGGGGGTGGGGGTGGCTAGGAGAGTCCTGTGGCTCACTGTGCTCTGAGCAGATAGATTAGGAGTGGAGCAGCAGTTAGCAACTAGCAGTGGAGAGGAGCTATCATCCACACTGGCTTGAGAAAGGAGGGGTGCATTCAGAATGGGGGTCAGCTGGCACGGGGAATTGTCCCTCAGCAGGAGTTGTGGCCACATATCGAGAGATGAAGGCTCTGGGGAGCTACTGCAGGGAAGTTCAAAACCCCCCAGCCACTCTTCAGTGGAAAGGTGAGGCTACCTGCTCTAATTATGATTGACAGCCTCAGACACCCTTTAGAGTGTTGCTGTGTGTCAGAATCGACTCCGTGGCCATAGGATTCTGGTGGGTGGTTGTGTTTTATGTGCCCTTGGGGAGCTGACCCTCCTCCCGAGGGGAAGGCAGGCCCCAAGGAACAGAACTGCAGGGTGCAGTGGGCCCTGTGATGGAACAGGACCAGTTCTCAGTTAGACACTGGGCGTCGGGTGAGCACGCCACCGTAGACAGGGCAGTCAGGGCAGCCTTCATGGAGGAGGTGACGTTTAAACTGAGAGTCGGTTTTGGAGATGGAGCCAGTGACACACGATCGGGGGCGGGAGGGGGAGCAACCTTTCAGTCTAAGGAGGGGCAGTGGACAGGCTCTGGACGCAGAGCCGCCCTGACATCTGGGAGGTGGCTGAGGGACCCTGGGGGGAGCTTGGTTTTGTTCTTGGCGCAGGTACGTGACAGGGCAGAGGGAGAGCCCCATGCAGCTCTATGCTCCCAACGCCTTCCCAGTCTCATCCCTGTCCCAGTGCAAGGGAGGGGTAGGTGTTGATGTGTGAACCCCCACCCCCACCCCCTGCTGGAGAATCCACCCCCTGGGGGGCAGCTATGTGCATTCCAAGGAGGATGGAGGATAGGAGACCCCTTGGCCAGCTCCTGCAGCCCCCTGAAGGATCCTGCTAGCGTTGTTGCAGGCCGTGGAGGGATTCTCGGCCCCCAGGCTTTGGGGGCGGTAGCCAGTTGCCTCCACAGCCAGCAGGGCAAACCGGCTCCTTCAAGGTCACAAGACTGGTGACTCGGCTCTACTCGGAGGGACTTGGTTTCCTCCCAACACGTCTGCCTCACTCTCTCTCCTTCTCCCTCATCTTAAATAGATGAGACCCAAAGTCTATTCCTGGACAGAATTTGAAGGCTCATTTCCTCAAGAAGCCGAAAAATGACCACAGAGAGCCAAGAAGCAGAGGAAGGCCAGTGTGGGTTCCAGCAGGGCCTCGCCCTCCAGCCCCCCTCCCCACCTCTGCTGGTGCCCTGGCCTCACCCTGGCTCGGGCTAATGGCCGGGGCAGGGTGCTGCCGCCCGCTCATTTCTCAAAACCCTTGAGATTGTAATTCTCCCACTGCCCTGTGTCAACTCTGCAACTCCAAACTGACATGGAGACCAGGGCTTGCGTCCACCTAGAGGCTCCCACCGTCCACATCTCTGTCCTCACAGAAGCAGTATGCACCCGCACTTCACGAGGAAACGCAGGCTCCTTGTTGGTCCACTCATGGGGAAACTGTGCCAGTGAGTGGCACAGGACGGCCCACACGAGTCCTCCAACCCATAGCAGGTGCTGTTATCCAGCCCCACCCTGGTGGAATCACAGGCTATTCAAGAGCTGGACCGCGTCACACTCACTTCTGCACCCCCAAGGGTCCAGCAGAGGAGAGGACCAGACTTGTGTTCTCCTGGAGCAGCCAAGGAAGAAGGGGGGTCAGGAACAGGAGAAAGAATGGAATGTGGCTGAGGGCCTCCTTTGCTGGGAGACGAGAGGAACTGGACAGTGCCCAGCTACTAGCACTGACTATGTCCATGGAAGACCCTCTGGAAGAGTGTCCTTATCAAAAGGGGAGAAACGCAGACCAGAACTTCAAGTTCTCATGGACTGCAGCCTTTCTGGAGCCAAGGGAGTGAGATAACCCACCAACGCCCCCCACCCACCCACCCACCCAAATCCCTGGAGCATCTACAGCCCAAACAATGGTTTAGCTTAGCTTAGCTGGTAAGGAATCTAAAGGCCTTCCTGAAGCATTGTGCTCCTTTAAGAACTATCTCCCAGGGATGGACAGGACAACGGAAGTTCCAAAGGTCAGGCGGAGGGTGGGGTGCCCTGGATTTATGTGAATGGAGGAGGAACAACCCCCAAAAGCAAGCGAGAATGAGGATGGATGTGTAACCTCGGGTAGCCCCTATGGCCAAACCACACACTTAGAAACGGTTGGATTGGGATCTATTTGGCTGCGTACATACATTCTCAGTAACCACAAAAATAAAATTTTTCAGAGTGAGAGGACCGGAATGCTTTGTTCCTTCCTAGCGAGCTGTTTCTTTGCCTCTCTCTGGGGAGGAGTTGACTGTTGAACTGGTTGGATTTTTTTGTGTGTGTATGGAGACAAACTGTATCTCTGGCTTGGGACCTGGGCTGCCCCTAGGTCCCCGGGGGAGGAATTCTGCCTGTGGAAGTGGTCCCTGAGGCATCTCCCCTACCTATTGCCTGAAGAAATTGCAAATACTTCCCTCCTAACCTTCCCCAGTTTGGCTTTTGCACAGCTGGGGCTTCGGCAATTCTAAAGCAAATCCCACTGTGCATGCCAGAAGGCATTGTGCAAATCCTTAGGCAGGTACTGGCAGCAGGGCAGCCTTTGCATAAATATTGACCTGGTTCTTTTCCTCCTCCTCCAGATCCGCGAGGAAAGAGGGCAGTGGGCAAAGGAAGAAGCCCCAGACACCCGACTGCAGACGCCCACAGGCAAAGAGCACACACAATGGCGCAGCCCAGCCTCCTGCTCTGCCTGCTCTCCCTGGCGGTGCTCCCTCTGCTGGGACGAGGCTCCGCCTTCCTGTCCCACCCCCGCCTGAAAGGCAGGTTTCAGAGGGACCGCAGGAACATCCGCCCCAACATCATCCTGGTGCTGACCGATGACCAGGACGTGGAGCTCGGTAAGCATCCCCGCCCCACCGAGGACACCTTGGGACGAAGCGTGTCCTTCCAACAGCGCAGGCGCATGCTGGCCTGGGCTCCCTAGCAGGGGTTTCCCACTGGCCCTTGAGGCCAGGGTCTCCCGCCCCCGCTGGATTCCCCCCACCCCGATGTCTTGGGGAGAAGAGTTGTTATAACCAGTTGATGTATTCAACACATGTCTATGAAGTACCTACTGTGTGCAGGCAGTGTTCCGGGGTACCTGGCGGGGAGTGCCATCGGAGCCAGCCAGTGGGGACGTGTGTGTGCACTTGTGTACACGTTCAAGAGCATGTGTGACTGCCAAGGGTCTGTGCCCAGGAGCAGCAGAGCCAATGGACTAACTCTACGGTCAAGAGAAAGAGAGAAATCTATTAGTCGGTGACACAGGGAGGATTTCCCACAGCAACACTGGCTGTCCTGCGGGAATCCCACCCCTGCTCAAAATGCACAGCGGTTATGCACTTTCTACTTTGGGGGAGTAACACACAGGTGTTTTACCTTAACTCAGGTGTCTGGATAATCCAGGCAAACCAGTGTTAGCCCTGAACAAGCAGGCAGAACAATAAGAGTCTTTTAAGGGTTAGTCTAGGGACATCTCTACCAGATAGCAGGAATTAGCCATTTGGACATTGACAGGCAAATAAAGAGAAGATTCTCAGAGTTATCCGGCCTTTCAGGTCATATCACAGCCAACTTTATCTCTGGTCGGTGTAGCAAGTCATACAAATTCCACAGAGACAGGTGGGAAACAAGGCACCCGGGGCATGAGTCAGGCCAGCTGCACACAGGGAGTAAATCTAGGCTCTGTGTGTGCAGGTGGTGTGCAGGTGTATGCGTGCGAGCGCCTTGCTGCACTCATAGTAACTGCTTCCTGTGGGCTCAGCCTTCTTTGGTCAGGTGGACTTGTGGGTGAGAAGGGAGGGGGCGTGGCAGGAAGCTGCCACTACTGTTCCTGAGCCAGCCCAGCCAGCAAAGCTGGCTACAGCAGGAGGCCGAGACTCCTCATCCCGAGATTCCTCTCCTCACAGGGCCGTGGGCTCCAGGTGGGGACGGGCAACCTTGCCAAGGTTGACACAGATCGTGGGCCTGTCAAGAGCTCAACCCGGCCCCTGTATTCCTCCACATTCTGGAGGTCTCGTCCTGTACACCCTGTCACTTGTCCTCCGACTCATCCTCCCCCCTCCAAAGGAGGCTGCCCTGGGCTCCTTCTCCCTAAGCTATGGCTTTCTTCCTTAAGAGGAGAGACCCCATAAAGGAGGTCACCACATGGACTGGGGGAGGGGGCGCTCCCTGAGTCCAGTTCACCTGGACCTTCAGCAATGACCAAACGCCACGTAAGGGTTCAAGCTCACTGCGGGGGTCTGTCTCTGAGAAAGACTTCTTTCTCCACACCCTGTGTCTTCCCCCCACCCCGCTTTGCATTCACTAATTAATTACATGGACTCCATTTCTTTGCAGTAAACCCTAGACCAGCACTGTCCTGGGGAAATAGAATTCCAGCCACCAGTAGAAGTGGCAGATATATCATCTTAAATCTTCTAGAACTCTCTCACTGCCACCGAGTTGATTCTGACCCAGAGCAGCCCTATAGGACCGAGGAGAACTTCCCCTGTAGGTTTCTGAGGCTGACCATCTTTATAGGAGCAGAAAGCCTCTGCTTGCTTCCTTCATGCAGCTGGTGGGTTTGAACTGCAGACCTGTGGTTAGCAGCCTATCAAGTCACCCACGTTGCCAGCAGAGCTCCTTAAATCTACATTTTTTTTTAAGTAAACAGAAAGTGAAGTTCATTTTAATGACGTATCTTGCACATAATGCACCACATATCCCAAGTATGACCATTCCACGTGCCATCAATACAAAATATCGTTCATTAGCTATTTGACACTTTTTGTATAGAAGTCTGCAGTGTGCATGTTATACCTACCTAACGCCTACTGCCATTGAGCCCATTCTGACTTGTGATAATTCTCCATCGGGTTTCTGAGATTATAAATCTTTATGGGAGCAGGCAGCTTCATCCTTTCTCCTCAGCGTGGCTGGTAGATTTGAACTGCCAACCTTTGGGTGAACAGCCTCATACCTAGCCAGCATTACCACCAGGGCTCCTTGTTACACCTACAGAACATCAGCAGAGATCACCCTTCAAGCTAGCCATATGTGGCCTCTTTACTAGATAGCACCCAGCCTTTCTCCTGGAAAGCAGTGTGCCCTTCTTGTTGGTACTGTGTACTGTGTTGTGACGATCTGGGGAAAGGTGTGCCAGGCAGTGGGAACAGCATGTGCTAAGGTCCTGAGGCAGGAGCCAAGGGAACCTGGGGAGGGGAGACAACACGAGCTGGAGAGAGGATGGAGCCAGGTCTTGGAGGGGCTTGGCAGTTGTGATCAGGAGTGCCAAACCTTGCCCGGGGGTGGGGTGGGGTGGGAGGGGGGCACAAAGCTTTTAGCCTCTGTCTCCAATCACAGGACTCCTATGTTTGGAATCTTGTCGGTGGAAAATCCAGGAGGTAAACTTTTGCAACCAGTCTAAGACGCCCCCGCCACAAATCTACACCCCTTTTGGATCGTTATTAAAAACATGAATCAGTCGTTTAGCTGCCAAGAAAAGATGATTTATAGAAAACCAAGTCACTCCCTGTAATAATTTGTATTAATGATCACGCCGATAGATTTCCCCTCCTCTGGGAGCTTATCAGTGCACAAAGAATTTGCAGCCAGGCAGCAATCAGAGCCCTGAGCTGTTATTGACACTCTGACACACAAGATGCCTGTCTCCCCAGCAGCACTGAGAATGAGCCGTGTTTGATAACCGAGCAAAGTTTACAGAGCTTGGGGCCTGTGGCGTGAGCTTGGCTTCTAGGCAGAATTTTGCCGAGACAACTCGCAGGCAGCTGCTGAGCCCCGGGTCTCCCCTGGTGTGGCCCCTCGAGCTGCCTTGGCGGTCATTGCCGGGCCTGGGAATTTGAGACGCCCTGGGCATTCGTTTGCGCATTCATTCCGCAAATATTCATTCCGCAAATACGAAGCATCTGCTCTCTGTAGCACCCTGTGCTGGGAGCTGGATCGCTGGGCCGGGATTGTTCCAGGAGGAGGGAGCAGGAGAGAAAAGATGGGGGTCTGGCAATCAGCATGGGGGTAAACTGGAGTCAAGGGAGACAGAGCTTATGTGGCAATAGGGGAGGTGGGGGTGGCTACTGGGGTCTAGTCATGGGGGGCTTGTGGTCCCTGGTTGTGCTTTTGGTTCACAGCGGTGTGGACATGAGTTAGGGTGCCTTAGGCAAGGAGGCATGACTGACTTGGGTTCCAGCTGCCTCCACTGGCTTTAGGCTGCAGGCAGATGGCAGAGGGCAAGGGCAGAAGCAGAGGGGCTGATAGGAGGCCACAGAGAATCGGTCAGGCCATAGTGGATGCTGGGACTGGGTGAAAGCATGGAGCAGGAGAGAGGTGGCCCCTCTTGGAAGAAGTTGGGAAGTGTATTGATGGGTGGGTTGGGTATTAGATGAAAAGAAGAATTCAAGGCAACTCTTAGATTTGGGGCGCAGCCAGCGTGGGGCGTGAGTGAGCACCAGCTCATAGGAGCAAGCCTCTGTGTGGCCTCTGAATCTAAGAAGCTTCCAGTTCCAGTCTGATTATCATTCTGCGCTGGTCACTGCTGAATGAAAAGGGCAGAACATGCCCATCTAAGGGGGGGGGCATGGGGGAGAAGAGAGCAAAGAACATCAGAGTCGCACTTGAAATGCCTAGTTCCCTCCCTCCCGATTTGCAGATGGAGAAACTGAGGCAGAGAGTTATCCCTTGTAAAAGGGTGCACCGATGGAATGAGATCAAGCGAGACTGCAGCCCAGAGCCCCTATCTTGAACTGTTGTCCTGCTTTACCAGCCTCCCGAGTATGTGTAGCTGCACCACCGCAAATAATGCTGCTGGGAATGTGAGAGATCGATCCCAGGAAGTGGCTGCCCCGGGGTTTAGAGCCCTGTGCGCATGCCTGCACAGTGCCTGTGGCTTCTCACCCTGCAGAACTCCATTCCACAGACCCCCACCGAAACCTCTCCTCCCCCACAAGTGAGCTGGCTCTGGCCTTCCACATGAGACTTCCTCCCTTCAGAGAGCCCTGGCAGTACAGTGCTTAGAGCACTCCGCTACTCACTGAAAGGCGGAGGTTCAAGCCCACCCACTGCTCCTCTGGAGGAAGAGGAGGCTTTGGAAACCCGCAGGGGCGGTTGTCCCTGCGAGCTGCAGCCAACTCAGTGATGGCCAAGGCTTGGTTGGAGTGTTTCTTTCAGGAGGTGAGGGGTGGAAAGGTGGCGGGGGAGGGCCTGCCTACACACCACGAGACAGGCTCCGATCAATAATGCATGCTCCCCAAAAGCCCAGCACATTAGCTCACAGTCTGCTACAACTGGCACGCCGAGGGTGGGCCTAAAAAATTTATCATCTGCTATTTTCTGCTCATCCATGCGGCAATTCTGACAGTTCTCTGGACTGGAGACTTCTCAGGGAGGACAATTCAAGGCTTTCTTCCAGTCCCCGGCTGGGAGAACAGCCATCCGTCCTAATTAGGGTCTGGTTGGAAGGGCAAGAGAGAGAGAGAGACGTTGAACAAAGTCCAGAGCCGGCCTGGTTCCTAAGCGGTGGGAGGGAGGAGGAGGCTGCATATGTGCTATCCCTTTTTCCTCTCCCTGCATGCCTTAGGGGGTCTCCAGGGGCCACGAGTGGTTAAGTGCTCCAGCACTAGCCAGAAGTCTGGTAGTTTGAACCCACCCCACTGGGTATGGGGAGACAGGCCTGGTGACCTGCTTCCCAGGACCACACTGTGAAAACCCTGGAGGCCGTGCTGTTCTGCACACGAGGGGAGGACTGGCTGTGAGTCAGAGCCGGCTGGAGGAGGCTGCTCCCATAGCCCCCCTACCCCAAGGGGTCATCTGGAAAGCCCCTTCCAGCAGCTTATTGGCCAGAAAGTGACACACACCATCAATACAT